ATATCATCCGCATATAATAAGAACTCGGATTTGAGTTTCGTGCCAATATTAAATATTAAAATCAAGCATTTCATAAATAAAAAGCACTTGAAATCAGGGTACGAAAATAAACTGTACAAAACAATCCCTATTTGCTCATCGATCATCATATCATTTGCGGTTTTGTACAGTTTTGTACATAGTCAGAAACAAATTGTAAGATTCACTGTCATAAAGAAATGAATTTATTGCCCTACAAAAAGTGGTACAAAAACAATCGCTTACCTATTTATTGGCACGTTGTGAGGTTAGGATTCATAATTTGTGTAAGCACCCAGATTGGCGGAATATGCTTCCGCCGGTTACTTAAAACCTCACCATAGGCATGTGAAGTATACTCACTATAACACATCACAACTTTCTACACAAAAGCCAAAACTTATTCAAATAAAAGCTATTACCTTCTTGCAAAATGAAAATAGATTTTCACTACCTTGGCCTGCTTGCCAGCACAACTAAATAGCTTACCGCTTTTACTACACACATATATTTTAAACATTAAGTAACACTTTTTTAACACACACTAGCCAAGCGCATAAAAATTGCCTAAATTTAACAGTTTTATCGCACTACACACTCTTTAAACAATTTTTTCACAGAACTTAAATTTTCACACAGCTTTTACAAATTACATTTCCGCGCGAACTGACGCTTACATCCGTTTTGTGAGAAAGGAAATGTTTATCGCGCCACTGACATACAGGTGTCGCCTCAAGCGGCTTTAGTAAACACAGCTGACTGCTGATAAACAGTGAATAATCCATTTTTCATAGATAATTAAAATTTGTAGTAATCGTATAACTTTTTATAATTAAGTGCAAAATAGTTACTACACACAAACATATTTATTTATGTGTTAGTTCTCAAAAATGTCCTGCTTTGGTTGCGGAAAAAGGTATGGACTCTTCACTAAAGAGGTAACTTCCAAACTAAACAAGAATTACCGTAATTTAGTACCACAAAAAGTAATTTTCTTTGTTTAAGCAGCACGGTTGTCCTAATTGTGGCTACTCTTATTGCTTAAAATGCCTGAAACGACCAATGCCAGTACCGCGACACGGTGGCAAAGTATTGAACGTTTGTCTAATATGCTATGACAAACTCTCAAAACTGCAACCAACTGAAAAGGTCGTTGACATCGATGCCTTGCCTGGTGTGCTCGTGACCAAGTCCACCGCGAAAAGGAGTACCGATCCTCTAGTAGTGGCAGCTGCAGCTTTGCTAGAGTAAAATCCTTAGTATATAAATTGTTATGGATGCTGTATAACTTATCATTGCAGAGATGATCCGCCCCCTGATTTAGGTGAAGTGCTGGCACCTATTGCAAGCTCCACATCGGCGGCTTCGGTTACACATTCCAATACAGTGGATGCTGATATCGATGGCAACCTTGATAATGTGATTTCAAAACGATTGAAAGACCTGAAAACAATTGAAAATTCTGGAACAGATGATGAGATACGCGCACGGCTTGGGAATTTAAATGGCATGCCCCACAAAGATTACTCCAAAAAAGACTTACTTCTCTCTACAGACGAACGTACGGATCAACAAAAAATGCACGACCTGTTAGAGCAATTTATGGGTGAAACACAAATTGATAAGAAGGTAGAAAATGAACGCGATGACGCCATATCAGATATTGAACGCCGGTTGAGAGCATTAAGGGAACACCCGGTGGATGATGCGTTGAGATCCAATCTAGGAACGGGTCAAAAAGGCAACTCACCGGACACAAATACGCCTAGTGATAATGAAGATGATGAAACGGTTTTGAAAGCTGTTATGGAAAAGGTATTAAGTATAAATAGTATGGGATCGCTTGATATATTTCGACTGAACTTGCCTTTTAGTATTTAACGGACGCGCGTTTGCCAGCACCGCCCACAGATTTAGAAACTGAACTGGCTGCTAGTGTACCGCCACCACCAGATGGAACACGTCCTAGCGATTTCGAAGAGTTGCCATGGTGCAATATCTGCAACGAAGATGCAGCATACCGTTGCAAAGGCTGCGATGGGGAACTATTTTGTACACAATGTTTTCGCGAGTGTCACGACGACGACGAAGAGTATCGTGCACACGAAAAAATGGCATACTCAGCCCCGCCAAAATTTAAGGAAAATCATTTTTAGGAAAATGCGGCGCAATGCAACAGTAACTCAACCAAATCACGTGAATATCTATATATTCGTACTTTACTTTGATACAACATACATATATTTAGATGAACTCTTTAACATTAGCAAAATAATGAGGAATACAAAATAAGAAGTATTACAAACTTTTAAACAACGAACGCTTCCGTTTCAGTTACTTTATAGTAGCTTAGAATATAGAAAATGTATATGTAAGGGTACATTTCTATGTACATTTGTAATGATATGGAAAACAGTAGTATAGGCTTAAGAACAACAAACAATTATATCCAGGAATATTTACCAGCGAAATTATTGAACTTTTCAAATTTTAACCAAATATTAATTTTAAGTAGTGTAACAGATTTCAAAGCACAAAAATTTTTTTGCCCCATCTTTATGCAAAAATTTTGTTCGTAAAAAGTTTTGAACTTTTCTATCTGTTAGCTTAGGGTTGGTCTACATTTTCCACCTACAACGCCGGATATCTGCGCTTCTAATGCATATCCGCTTAACCCAATGGGATAGTCCTGCATGACAACATTTAATTTCAAACCTTTTCCACATTATATTATTTTTTGCTTCAATAATTATTGCACCAAATCTATTCAAAAATCGACCTTGCGAGAATATGCGACATTAAATGCGCAGCTTCTCGAGGAATTTAGGCACTAAATGTTGAGCTGAGTAGCGGTCGAATGTAAAATATTCGAAAAATGAATCTCTTTGACGACGAAAAAGTTCCGGATTACGACACCAGTTGTATAGCATTTTAATGAGCTGATTGGATGTGTTGTACAAATTCTCTTTGGGATATATCTCAGGATATACTAATTTGTTGGGCGCTATTGGCATACAGCCGCAGTACGTAGCTTCCAGCCTGCAATAAGAAGTAAATATAAGTAATAAAATGTGACAGATCTATAAACATATGTATCTTGCTCGCCACATACATAGCTACACCGTAGAACTCATGCCCTGCCGTCGAGATTACTACATCGCCGGACAATAACGTCTTAATGTACTTATCTCGTGGCAAGAATCCGAAGTTTATCAGCTTTGCCCCCAGTTTGTCTTGCAGACCATCGAAGGACTCTGGTGCCGCCTGATAATTCTCACCACATATCGTCACTTTGAAGTCGACCTGTCGCTTGTTAAGTTCCAATAACACTTCTACCAGCAGTTTTGGATTTTTGTCGTGCTCCCAACGATGTGGCCATATCAGATGCAAGCAGTCTTTATCACTCATCAACGAAGTTAGGGATGGTTCCGCGCCGCCGATCATCAGTCGTTTATTGGGGAAGGCATGGAACTTAATAGGATAGTACAGAACTTCACACTTTTTCTCAATCTTGTCGCGGATATGCTTCATTTTAAAGTCGGGTTGTATACTGAGGAAAGGTGTGATACTGTCCAAGAAGGAAGTTCGGTTGAAATTCGAGTTGAAGATGATATTATCAGCTGCAAGGCTGTATACATACATATGTATAAGAAAGTGAAAGTGAGTATTGTTAAAAAATTATTTTTTAATAAAACTTACCATGTAAGTATTTGATTCAAACCATATTGACAATCACGCTCCTTCACCTCACGCACTGGGTAAACCAGCTGGTTTTCGTGGAAATATACAATCTTCTTACAGCTAACCAAATCCGGCCGCACCCCCAGCAGCTCGGCAAGGTTTAGTACCGAGCTGGTGAAGAGCACTTTGTAGTCATGGTCTGCTGGTATGATTTGCGAGAAGTACAGGGCTCCGGTACGTGCACGCCAATGCCATTTTTTGGCTGGTAGACTAAATATTTCATAGTCACAGATGTTCAAACCTATATACACATACAATAATTACAAAGTATACTATAAAAAAATATCATAGATTCGACAATGCAGCGGAAGTGGAAGTGCCGGGCCGGCACTGTGCTGCTCGCTACTCACATTCGATAATTGTATCAATCAACTGTTTGTGGCTACCTCCATAAAATGGTTCTATTATTAGTATAGATGGCTTGGACATGGCAATGTGCTGCAAATGTATTTCATTAATTAAACCTTCGCACATTAATCAAAATATATTTAATTTTGAACAGATAATAAAATTCGTGTGTACCTCATAGTGCTGCAATATAAGCGATATGACTATCGGATATTATCGCTGGTAAATTTCTCGGCCACTATCGATTTTATTTTTTGCGCTATCGATCGTTTTCATCCGCCTCCAATCTAGAAATGGGTGTTTCCATCGGAAAGTCTACCGCGAAAAAAATGAATGTCATATGAGTATCTAGATGGGCCAATTTGTCTGTTTCTTTTTTTAAATATATATACTGGTTATATAAGCAGCAGCCTTTTTTTTTTTAAAATGGTCTTGCTGTGGCGCCGGGGTCGAGATATTTTGAAGAACCGTATTTATGGAACGATGTGGTTCGAATTCGGCGTGTGTAGTTGAAACATATAATAGATAATAGATTTCAAAAAAAAAAGCCTTGAATTGGTACCGAAGTTAAAAAATGCATGTGTTATTTGCGTTTAAAATTAATTTAAAAGCAATATTAACAAAATATCACAATGGAAATTTATCTCACGTCTCGCCATGTCACGTAACTTTTCACACTTGGGGTTGTAAAAGAAAATTGAAACAAATTGCACTGATTAAAAAATCTCTAAAACAACTAGAATTACTCCAAATCATATTAAATTAAGTTTCACGAAAATAGCCATCCACAATTCGCAGAGTTTTGCGATTTTGTAAGAAAAGAAAAATCAACTTCCAATTTTTGTCACATAACGTTACTCTATTTAATTGCGTATATTTTTGAGGACTATGCGGTTGGATTATTATCTTTTTTGAGTTGCATATAGAGCTCGTTATGTGCAACAAAAGGGTCCAAAGAAGTCTCATTAAAACGAACGACTGTCACGTATGTGGAAGTACCCATATGTAAATTTTTTTTAACGTTTTAATACAGCGTAATCAACTGGTAGCAAGTGTGGGGTATCTGATTTGATTTCTTCATACCTTTGGTCAATAATCGTCAAATTGCTAGATATTATAAACATTTCTCTGTACTTTTAAGTCGCAAAATGTTAAATTTTCAGCTTTGTTCATTTTGTTTGGTATACAAAAGTCCACAATAAAAAACGAAACACATTTATTTTAGGACTTTTTAATTTTTAAATTAAATTGCTGGCAAACGTCAGACTGTCTCTCAATGGTTTTACCTTGTTATGTTTTTACCATGACAAAAAGTGTCGATTAACTAACTTTTTTTTAGAAGATAAGGCAACTTCCATCCGGAACAGCTGTTTAGGTTTTGCCTTTTGTTTTCTTTTTTATTTTGCGAAAACTTTGGACCACTGTAGAAACTTGTCACATATGAAGAAAAAATTTAAGTTTTGCTTTCAATAATTCCACCGGCACTCAGGAATTCCAACGGCCATAAAAAAGGATAATCGCGTGCCATGAATGAAAGCAGCGAAAGCAACAGTAGCCATGGCACAGCTGGCACCCCTCTTAATTTGCCCCACATACCGATTGTAACCTCAGTGAGTTGCTGCCTCATACTATCTGTAGTATATGTCGCCAGTTTATATGTATGGAGCACAAAGCATAATCGTGACCACCCAGCAACAGTAAAACGGCGTTTCTTCAGCGTGTCCGTTGTAATGTTAGTAGCTCCACTTTTTGTATACAAATTTTCGTCGCCCCAGTTATTGGAACGTGCATCGTTTCCAGAACTTTTGGGTCTGCGTTGGCAGGGACTATTTCCAGCCATTGCAATACCGTATTTGCTAACTATGCTCTTGTTTTTTGGGTCCATTATGTGTCCAGATGCAAAATGAGTCGCTTCAAATGTATATGGGTAAGTACAAAGGTTAGAAACGTTAGCATTTTCACATAGTATGTTTCATATTTTAAAGATATGGACTTTTGGGTTGGGTCATTCAAAAATATACTTTGGATACGTAATCATATAATGGCACCATTGAGCGAAGAATTCGTTTTTCGTGCATGCATGATGCCATTGATATTGCAGAGTTTTTCCCCATTGACGTCCGTCTTCATAACGCCGCTCTTCTTTGGCACAGCGCACATACATCACATCGCCGAGCGTCTTAGCTTGGGCATGGAACTGAAGACTGCCTTAGTGATATCTTGTAAGCTAAACTATTTTAACTTAAAAGTTTTTACACCATAATCGCTTCCTACTTCTTTATTAGGCTTTCAGCTAACATACACAACAATCTTTGGATTTTACTCAGCCTTCCTGTTCGCACGTACAGGTCACTTTATTGCACCTTTCCTTGTGCACGCATTTTGCAATCATATGGGCTTACCTGACGTACAGGACTTATGGCAGCAGCATTTAGTACGCCGAATTTTACTTATTATTTGCTATATTATTGGATTTGTCGGTTGGATAATACTGTTGCCAGTAGCTACACAGCCATCGCTGTATTCAAACAATTTGTATTGGAATAATTAAACGAATTAGCGGTATGCCTTCCGCATTTCATACGGTACACTAATGTTACAAGTGACCACTTGTCAATAAGCCTAATGTTTTAAACATATGTATCTACATATGTGCTTACTACATCCACATATTGTATCTACATATTAAACGTGTAAAGCATATGCGCCTTTTTATTAATAATCATTTTTTTGTTGTACTAATTAAATGTCTTTATGCTTTTCCTTAGTGGTAATGCGCTGATGAGTCCATCATTCATCTGATTCTCAATTGAAAACACTGGAAGCTATTATGTGTTAAAAACCAGTTGCCAATTTTATTTATAAATAAGACTTTATATGTGTGTATGAAGGTCGGTGAGTCATGCGCTTTCAAATTTAGCCTTTTAGTGCAGTCTCTAGTTCGTTATTAGCTTTTAGTTCTTTGATTATATCCAATCCACCTATTAGCTCTCCTTTAGCATACACTTGTGGATATGTAGGCCAATCGGAGTATGTCTTTAAACCTTGGCGAACTTCTTCGTCATTCAGTATATCGAAAGTCTCATAAGGAATACTAGAATAAAAAAA